ATTCAATTTTTCTATATTATGCTACTTTACACTAGGTTACTGTTGGCACTTTTTACAAACCACCCACAGCTGTCTGAATTGTGGAAATGTTCCCAAACACATACACGTATACTCATATAGCACACTTCCAAGTCGTATAATCCAAGATTTGTCCGTATCTTCCATCTTTCGAGGATGCACAATTTGGCCCTACATTTTAATCGAACAATAATTGTTCACCAGTTCCATAAGGAAGAAGTGGCGGCGTAGTTTCTGAAAGAAGAGATTCCTATAACATCCGCTCTTGGCAATGGGTAAACAACAGAGCAAAAATATTAATAAGCTATCTAATATTCTGAATATATAATAATCTGTCTCATGTTACTAAAAAATTGCAAACAAGGACACGCGTCGCAACACTTGTGAACTTCGGCTGTTTACACGTTTTCCGTTAAATTAGTACTTGAATCAATTACATCAGTATATAAATCTAGAGACCAACGGAAGGGCCAGGCCTAAGCTGCAAAAAATTGATCGAAAGATGTTAATGAATTACCCGGCTTTCGATGAAACCCTACTTTTGATACGATGGTACTATACCGTCAGTGTGTACAACAACAAGTCGTAGTGCAATTGTTACTGAAAGTATCGTTGTGCCGAAAAATTCGAAATTCCACTTGGCGCTCACAACAGCGGCTTAAATATGCATCGACTAGACGACAGAAACATTGCGTCAGGCTGCGCAATAGATTCATCTTTCCTTGTAAGAGAAGTCAACGAAACATCACTGTCACAAAACTTCCTAAAAATTACATTACACTTCTCAGGCATTATGAAGCTACATTGAAAAATACAGGAGGCTTCATTTTGTGTTGTTTAGGGACGCCCCAACACAATCATAAAACAACAGGATAAGTAGCTTGACCAGTTGTTCGGAAATAGGCGATCGTTTTCATGCATTGCTTCATTTCCTTTGATATATCTGCTTTGCACTCAGTTTTGTCCAGTATCAAGAGCTCATTAAGTTTGCTGTGAGTGCTGAATGTTCTGCTGCTGTGACTGCTGTTGTAGTGACTGCTGTGGCTGTTTGTGGTGACCGTGGGTGTCTTGTAATTTCTTTTTGCGCGCATTCAACATATTGTAGAACGGGTGTTGCGTAGTTGATCTGCAACAATTTAACCATGATTATTACTTTGTTGAAAGACTACTCAAATATTAGTCATACTCGAATCGTTTGAACATTTTAGGCGTAAAGGCAGCATTAAACGATTTGGGTATCCGCTATGTTCACCTAAACACTTCATGCTGATGTGGAGATTACTGTTTCGTTCAGTAAGCGCTCCGAAACTAATCAATAGCTATAAGTAAATATCAATTTTTAGAAAGATAGTTAAAGCTTTAAGAGTCATTAGAATATATCGCTGAAAGCCGATCTTTTTTCAGGTTAAGCAAACTACCATTTTAAGTTCACGGGATCGAAACTACATATAATACTTTACGACGGTTAAACGTCGTAAGTAGTTACCTTTCGATGCATCGCATCCACTCGTCTTTTTCTTCGGCTGTAGATGCCGACATTCTGTAAACTGTGTGCTTTCCTGTATACAGTCAACAATTGTACACCATGATACTTATTCAATTTACTATAGTAGTCAATACTTAACGATTTTAGAATGCAAATAACCTTACAGGTGCAGTTAAAGACGAAATATAAAAACCATTATACTTGCAAATCAAGTTTAGATATAGTAGTAGCAGGTCGTCTATTTGTCCTAGTAGGCAGGATATTCAAAAACCTAGTGATCAGTTTTTGGCCCAACTTACCCTCTACGACCTTTCCGTCGGAATCGGTTTTGCATGCTTTGATACAGTTTCCGGCTGTTGCGAATAACTCAAAACAGTGTGCTCGACTCGACCGATTGTTGTCCGTTGCATCGCGCACAGAAACGTTCTCAAGTGGAATAATGCCCCTTGGTTCCTTGTCCGTTGTGAACTCGAAATAGTACAAACATTTGTCTGACAATATGAACCATCTGAATCCAAGAGCAGGAATAATTAGAATAGGGGCTGAGATGAGTGGATAAAAGCATATAATATCACCCGAAAATCGCATTGATCCTTTTTTTCTTGCCTCGTGTAGGGAGCACACACACGCGCACAGACTATGTGTGTTCTACGGGCATATATAAATGATGTCAGTGAAACGTAGCGTACTGTCTGCAACATTTTTTCCAGGCATCGTTTCGAGAATGTGCAGAGACTTGTAATTGAGATCAACCTGTCTTTAAAGAACCCTAATAAACAATTGCCCTCTCTTTTTCACACACCGCAGTTGTTGCGAGCATATCACACTGTTGTCTCACAGACCTTCGTTTCCAGGATTTCACGCGGCCGCCCTGTTTCCACAGCCAACCTTCGCGGTCGGGATTGAAGAATGTGTGCATTAAGTCGTTCCCATCGTCCTCTGGTTTTTTGAATGGTTCTCCTCGTATGTTTTCATATATAGACACCAGCATTGCCCTATGACAGACATATGAGTTGAAAAAAAAAGCTTAATAATAGAATAAACAGCTTGCTTTCCGAAGGTTTAAAAGTAATTGAAAGCGTACAATGTAAACTTTGTGTATTTCACCTGATCACTTAAATCAGACAGTTAAGATATCGGGGATGCTACTGGTTATACTGCTCTATCTTTTCAACTTAAAAGAGGCGTATACCTGTCAAAATTCATAGAGGAGTCGGTGACCATCTTTATAAATCCCTCTGTAGTTGGCTTATCTTTAATAGCCGAATTATGTAACATCGTATTTAACATAATGATTGCGAAAGACAGAATGTAGCACTGATCTGGCGTAGAGAAAGCGCCCTGAAAGAAAGTACGACACGTCAAGGGTCTTTGTTAATAGGTAGCTTATACGTACGTGTCCTGTAGTGTGGAGTAGGTAAATTCTAAAAAAGATGACCATTTGGTTTACGGGTTGAGTTTTAGCAGTTCTTCTATACTTAGCCATCTATATAGCCATCTACACTTAATTGATACTTGCTCACTAATATGGAACGCCTTCTCTGTCGTTAGCCTATATGCAGATATATTGTTACGGTTGAACTCAAACACTGCACATAACGATTTAGCCATTGAAAGCCTGACATTTGAAAAATCTCGCGCAGGTAAATCGAGGTACCTACGGGATTTTGCTGGCAATAGTGGTTGGCAAATTCTTGCATCATGCGGTCAATCTTCTGTGATTCACCAGGCAGACGAAAGCTGAACAGAAACCTCCGCAGCGCTTGGACTAGTATAAGATTATGAAATTCGTGCAATCCAATAAAGGCATGTAACACTGATTCGTTGAATGGCTGCATCATGAAACAAAATCCCACATTATTAGGCGTTCTAAAACGGTCACTGTAAGAGCATCAATTACCCTTATTACCTCTTGGTATTTCATATAAAAAAAAAAATAGATAAAATTACAAATCATAATATTACACTGATACAACAGATTTATACGGATATATACGGATTGGCCATAAAATATAATTGAATGTTTGTTGCTGGTGCTGCTGCTTATCTAACTTTTCATTGTGCTATAATATTTTTTTTTTCGAATAGTAACGTATCTACTACAATGTAAGCATTCATGTGAACTAACCTCTTTTTCTCCAAGATAATCTCCAATGGATTTCTTAGACAGGCCTTCTCCATTGAACAGGAAATCCGCAACTGCTTCGGGAGTCTTTTCCAACTGACTGCAAGCATTTAGTGTAAATAAATAGGCAAATTTGGTAGACGGATCAAAACATTTTATAATCATACGATACCGCAAGCAATGCCAACGGCTCATCGGCATATGTTTGCATAGTCCTTCCTTATTCACCCAGTCATAACTGCCATGGATACACTGTCAATGTTATTTGGTATGTTTGTATGTGCACGTTCGGCGATACAGAACAGAAACGACGGACCCGTACCGAATGAGACAGTTATTTCTGCTAGTGATATAAATTGCTGCTAAGTAAAGCAAACATAGAGCCGATGTCAGCTGGCAGCTTTGCAACTGTATTCATTTCATTGTTTCACTGAAGTCCACTGATGTCAATTACCCAAAGTCAATAAGATAGTTGATGCCTTTTCGAGGATCTAGATTGAACATTTTTCGTCCTGAAGCTTGAAATTTGAGTCGCGCATTTTCGCCTCCACCGCCATCAACAGCCCCACCGCCTAAAACGACAAAAAGTACACCTGACGTCAGCCGTTAGTGAATACTATTTAACGTATAAATTAGTGTTCAGCATCAGAGCGCTATTTTTTTAAGTTTCGTCCTAAAGGTTCCAGCTTAAGAGCTTTTTGTTGAAACAACCAAGTATAAAGTGTAGCATTTTGCTCTAATTCAAACTATTGTTCTAATTAAATTAATGTTCAACATCGAATGCAAGCACACGAAGTTTCATATCAGATTAAGGATTTTTTTGGGCCTAAAAGTAAAACGTATAGTTAATATTTAGGAAAAGAAGGTGCTGTTTTGTGGAGGCCATAACGTTGAGTGGGAAAGGGATTGGCACGCACACGGCATGACCTACATTGTGTTACTGAAAACGTTTTTATTGCAAATGTTGTACCTCTAGTGACATTAGCCGATTCCAGTTTGGCCATATCGTTTGTGACGCATTCAATCTCGAAACGAATGCGTTCTATTTCCGCTTTGAGGGTCGATTTACGCGCTTGAATGTCCACAAGCACCTTAAATTCAGCAGGCGATATTTCTGGAAACACGAATGAAAAATCGTATGACAATAAAAGCTTTGTTAGTACGGAGATGTTTCTGTTAAATAAACGAATTACGAAGCCTGATAGTTGTATTACAAATGCAAAGACTGCTATGACACTCATTCGCGATTTATCATTGCTATTTGACGGTATTTTTTCCCCTCAGGAAAACAGAGATGCTGAAGCACACCAATCGCTAATTGTACAAGCCGCCCATTTTTTGCCGCCCTCTAAAATTCCAGTGAGAATTTAAAGGATAATTGGTTTCTTCCTCATACTTTTAAGTACACACACCAGCGGCATCCCTCTCGTAATTTTTTTTCCTAATGAACACGACTATGGTGGTATCTATGGTCTGCCTACTCATAGTTATTTTAATCAAAATCGGACAAAATATGGTAAGTAAAAAAACAACACTGAGTAACCATTTCGACTTAGAAATCCTCAGGTATTTCATACTGTTTTATAACCGAACAATCGTCCGCGATGGCTAGATACATATGACCATTGCCAAGTAGGTCCTACTTTTTTACTCTAAACAGACTCAAAATTCTTTTTCTGATTATTAGGAGCAAATGGAATCCATAACTGCGATGGGAAGTCCACGTAAACCAATGTATAAAAAGCTCACGCTTATGTACGCCACGTTGCGTAGGTTCAATACAGTGGAAGTTCCGCGCTTCGTTATAAAACAATGCTATAAGGCAGTGCGGCTTTTGCACTTGAAGCAAAAAAGGGGCTTGTCAGACAATCACATTTTAAAAAATAGTTATGTTGAAAAACAACGTAGTTATGGAACGTAGACGCATTGGTCACATTTATCGAAATGTGAGCAATGTATCTACGTGAAACCCCGCTTAAAATTTACTCAAAGGGACAGTTTCCAACAATCTTTGCCCGGTTTCGAAACAAACACGGTATCAAAACGGAGCCTCGCGTACTAACTCCGGCACATATTACCCATAAACTTTTAAACAAGGATTTATACAATGCTACATTGTAGATAATACGAAATACTGTAAAGTGAGGCCAGCAAAGAAGACTGCCGTAGCGACGAGCAAAAAGGACAGAAGAGTTAATTTAAAGAACAAAGCCGAGAAGGCAATCGCGCTGACAAAAAAGGAACACAGTATCATTTTGCTCATGCGGTTGGTTTAGATGGCTTCAACACAAGACTGGAACTATGCTGGGAATTTTAAACGAAACCATAACAGACTTAGATAATAATAGAAACATAACATAATAGTTTTCATTGATTTTCTTAGGAAGCCAGTGCACAAGCATACATCGAACATACAGGGACACTGAGGCTTAGGGCGTCGGAGGTATCCCCGACGACTTAGAATAAATGAGACTATGAGCTGATGTACGGTAGGGCGGCGCATGACTGGAGGAAGTACGTCCCGACGAAACATTACAATTGCCGCGCTCAAACAACACATCCGGCCAAATAAGCCATGTTTTATAATAATGTTTACAATTAACATCCCTGAAGTTAATCACAAGAAAAAAGTGGTAGCGAAGCGAAAGATTGGCATACAACCCTTGAATAAAATAAATAATAAAACTTAGAAATAGATCAAAACAGCATAATCGAAAAGAACAAGAATCGTTTCTGTGGGTGAAGTTAAGGGGCGTGGGAAAAAATCTATAAAATAGTGGTTTCCATTGCACTGCCCAAAAGCTAATTTGTAACCTCAATGGCTACATAAAAACGGAAAGCATCGAAAAACAAAGTACACTTAAGCGATTAACACTGCAATGAAATAAATTTCAAATCGAGAGCTTTCAAAGTAGCAGCTAGACCCGAAAAGGCGTTTCAAGTACTGTTCCAAAGGTTAACAACAATGAAAGCTAGTGTGTATACCTTTGGCAGCCATTAGAAGAAACGTGCGAGGTAACGATGATGTATGCCATCCCAAGAAACCTGATAGAACTAAGATACTGGTAGAAAAATGACATAGCAAAAGCAGAGAACGTAAATTAAAGCGGAAAAAACTAGGTGAAACAATTTAGTGAAAACAAGTTCCAAGAAATATGGATGAATGTTGGAAGACGTTGTTAAAGGAAGTCAAGGAACGCCCTACATGCTAGTCAGATATTATAAGAACAGAATTTCCTTTAAAAACTGTTCGCTGTTAAAGGCCCGATACGGTTTCTGGGAAATCGTTCGGTACTTATAGGGATCGGATGGATTCTCAGTAAAAAAGGCAGGTCAGAAAAACAGTAACAAAGAAGGATACAAAGCTTGTTTTGACAGTAATGTTGGACTTGGAAGCTCAGCAACCTCTCATATAAAACTGTTCCTTGTATCTGACTAACACAAACGTTGTACTCTATTTCGCCGAAGTAGTTTCCAGCTCTTTAAAAGGTCGAGCCGTATGCAATGACAGCCTAGAGCTTGATAAGCTGCCTTTATTTTTAAAAGTTTCCTGGGAAAATAAAGTTGAAAAAAAAAGAAAATCTGAATAAATTTAATAACTAATGTGCAAGAAGGAACTGTGAGGTCCGCGCAAGTGGGGTAAACAGCCAGAACTAAGATTTTTTCTTGACGCTGTCTCTCAATAGACACGGTAACTTCCAGAGTTGCGTTTTTGGAGCTGGTATTTAGCGATATCGATAACTAAGTCGTTTATTCACTGGCGCGCTGTCTGGGTCTACAGTTGATTTACGCTCAACCCAAAACCGACGTTTAATACAACGGTTCGATTGTGCAACACGATGCCATTCACACGCAGATCCGAACTCCGCTATAGTCAGCTCGAATAACATATGCAGGTTTATAACGCATCATAGCTTGAATTTCTGCCTATCGTATTCATCTGTTAGGTTGAGCAGTAAGCTCTTGCGGCCTCTTCAAAAGCTTCTCTTTACCATTTTCTTTTACTTGTTCTGATATATCGCTGGAAAGCGCTTGTCCAGCTCTATCATGGTGCTGCAACGGTATTGTCGTGAATGTAATTTTAACTCTTTTTTTAAACTGCTCAAGACTAGGTGTTTTTGGGTGAAAAAAAGTATTTTCTACACTCTCCGTACTTTACATTTTGTCAAGGCCAACACTCTCCCAGAACAGTCCGAAACAATTACCTTGTCCACAATAACGACCTCCCCGCTTTGATCGATTGTTATAATCATTTGAAAGACAAACAACCTAGGAATTGGCTGAAAAGATTGGCTACGGCGACTAGATCATCACTGATTACCTTAAATTTCTTGGTTTGCGCAAAAACTTAAAGCTTGGGCGACTCTACAACGAGTTATAAACTAACGTAGTATCTCAACGTTTCGAATTGTATCGTGTATCACACGGCCTCAGTACCCGATTTTCGCACGAAATTGTCATCGGTAATAAGACTGGTACCTATGCAATAATATGAATCACACATTGAGCGGCTTTAGGGAGGAAGCGAAGGCTTATATTTCAACCAAATCTTAATCCAAAGAAAGTTATACTTTGTGCACACAAAGTACAACAACAAAACTTCGTGTGTGTGTGTGTGTGTATGTGGGTGTGTGTGCACAAAGTTATCAAACCAGACAGTTGATTGACACGCTTATTTAGTTGAATTGCATAGAGTCCACCAGGCTATTTAATAGTAGATCCTGCAGATAGAATTGGATCATCCTGTTTTACGACAACGCGGAGCCACCGACAGCAAATATCGTCAAAGCTGCCCTCCTAGAGCTTGAATGAGATGTTTTGGTGTATCCGCTCCTTGCGCCAACGGATTTCTCTCTCTTTCGTTAGTAGGGCAATCACTTTCGACACAGATCAAGAACTCAAAACGTAGCTGGAAAACTTAGAAATGAAATCCGCTACATTTGGCGAGATAGCATACATCATTTGGTGGAAAGATATAAGAAAGCCGTAAACAATGACCGAGAATACAAAACATAACCTACTGTCACAGAAACAAAATTTTTTCTAGTCAGCGGAACGGGCATGAGCTACTTGCCGCTGCGTCAACTTTAACGAAGAAAACAAATATCATTTATTGGGAAAAACGAGTGCAAAAGAATTCTTACAAAAAATTGACCTGGGCTCCTACAACTTCGATCTTGTTATATACTGTGCGTCACTTCCTCCTGCAGTACCAATGATGACCACCATGGTCGAACAGAAACTTCTTCAGTGATATGTGTTAACTAGGACACTGTTTAGCTGTTGCAACAAGAACAATGATCTGTACACTGGTTAGCCAAATAAATTATGCCGCAAAACTGTTAAGGTCTATTGGAACGTATACGACAATGCTCGTGGCTGTTGAAGTGCTATTCAACAACAGCGTGGCGACAGTGGCGCTATCGGCGTTAATGAGGTCAAAACATTGGTGTCGTATTTTTTGCCCAATTTTTCAGCGTTTTTGAGTATAAGAATATGATATTATTTCGACTCGATTCATAATAATTGGCAGACATCATAGGTATAGCTATACTCATGATCGTAAAGTAACTATTACACACTTTCTCCGTCAACGACTGAAGGAATCTCTAGCCCACTTTAAAAATTTTTACTTAGATTCTAGTTATGAAAACACAATTTAAATAAAACGTCCGTGTGCCAAATATGTATAGCACGTTGAGGGAATGGATGCTTAGATTTCCAGTTTAGCCAGAAACCTAACCATCAAAAATAACTGAAACAATGGATTAAAAACAAAATTATCGCTTAGTGCACATCGTGTTAGGGTTAGTTGTTTTAAGTCTCTGACTGCAAAAGAGCCTCAACAAAGTCCATTCAGGAAAGTCCTTTACACGAGTTGATTGCCATTATGAAGACTTAATACTGAGCAATCCAGCTTTATTTATTTACCAAATATCATCTCTTGGGTTAATAATGCAACATCACTTAGCAACAGCCAAAAACCCATTGTAATAATTGTATATATATAAAAACATGTATCGTAATGTTTTTATAGTGCCTTATATAAATTAAGTTGCTAAAGAAGAATTGAAAGAAAAACGAGTGCAACTCCTGAAATAAAAACAACTCCAA